GCAAGCCCATCTTTGACAACATCATAGAGTTTGCTCTGTCCCAGTGATGCGTGAAGATTGGGGCAAGCTAGTCCGCGATTTGCTGAAGAAGACACGTGGCAGAATTTAAGCTCTTTGACGCATGCACAAAAAAGGCGTGTCCTCTAGTAACTTGCTTTTCTACAGTCCAATCATCCAGAAGCTGTTTGAACTCTGAACCCTAAGCCCTGGACCTGAAAAATTTGGCAGCGTATTTTCTGGCGTGCGTGCTCCGTTTCAGGCGTCAGACCTTCGAAGCGAACCACAACAAGGCACCAGCCTCAGCCTTGGCAACAAGGGAAACAAGAACCCAGAACCTCCAAAGGGTTTAATTAGCGTAGTCTTCTAGCTCCGCTGGGCCGCTGGGCTACATGGTGGACCAACTGCGCAAGAAACTTAAAGCGCTGCAACAAAGGCAGCGCCGTCTGCAGCACCGCGCACAACTTTCGAAGAAAGAGCGACGCGTGGCTGTGGGTCGTGCTAGACAAGTATAACACCCGTGCTGCAGAAGAATATCTCGCGCAACGGTGTCGTATCACAGGCCGAAGTCTGGTGGATTCCTACCATAAGGTGGAGTCTTGGTTTCTTGCCGCGCCGGAAAAGGGTCTGGAGACTTTGTCTCATCCAGTAACTCCTTCGCAGAAGCATTTCCAAAACAGCATCTACAAATTCCTGGCCGAGTTTCGCGCGGTCCAGTTTGTACGTGAATGCAACTTCCAGAAAGGACATGCGCCTGCTTTCGCTGAAGTGGTAGAGACTTACGTCCAGAGTTTGAGGGACATGGGAAGCAGCGAGCTGCGGCTCTAGCTTCTTCCTTGGACAAGAAGACTCGGTAGGCCGCTGGGCCTGGGGACAGCGATGGCAACTACCTTTACGCACCTTGAAAACGCACGGTGTCAGCAAGGACTTAACGGCTAAGGCCAGCCTCCATCTTAGTTTCGTGCTCTTGTCACGTTTAAACAACGGGCAGTGGCTGCTGATGCTGGGAGGTAGGATTGCTTCCTGCACCTCTAAGGATCGGCAACGAGTTTCAACTCCGTTGCATTAATAAACATGCCCGTACTATTGCATGGTTTCAGGCTGTAAGATCTGTGCCGGGCTGGGGCCCATGATTGGATCCAATTTTGGGGCCTTTATTTGGGCTTCATTTTGGGGGCTGGGTAGCAGGGATTGTCTTCAAGATAAGCAGATTTCAGGGGACCCGTTTTGGGGTTCCTTTTTGGGTCCCTTTTCGGGTTCCCTTTTGGTCCTTTTTTTGGAATCCTTTTTTGGGGCTCTTTTGTGGGCTTCTTCTTGGAGTGCTCTGCAGGTCTTGGGATTTTGGCAGAGGTACCTTTTTGGGGTCCCTGTAATAAGGACTATAGTATTTTGGGGTCTGTGTTGGGGTCCCCTTATTTTGGGAAACTACCATATACCTTTAATTCTTTTTTTGTGTCCTAACCACCTGATAAAGGAATGTACTTTCAATCATCTGAGGAACCTCGGCATAATCTAGGATGTGTCTTGAGTAAGGGGTTTGGAGGTTTTTGGGAAATGGCTGAGTGGAATCACCGTGTGCCGGAGCACCCGAATCTTGAACATTGCCCCCTTGGTATATGAAATATATATGTATATATATACGTTTCTATGTATATCGATATTTGGTTGCTATAGGGAAGACATAATTTAGCTGCCATGCTCCTTTGCGCAGCCTTATCATTAGTTGCACAGCAAGAACGTGTTCGAGATGGCACGTTCAGCAGCTTGCCTAAGGAGTTTCTGGCAGCCTCAGAAGGATTTTCCAAAGCGATCTGGATGTTGGAGTTGGCTTGGAGTCCAGATTTTGTTCGCAGGTCAACCTGTTCTTCCATTTATGGAAGGGTGTAGTGCCCTCTCCCTTACTCCCCCAGCCCGACATACTCTTTACATTAAAGAAGCCTTGAGTAACCTTCAATTAAGCACTAATGGGTGGGGAGAAAGCAGGTGTGTGTGCATCGCATGCAGCGAAGGGCAGCTCCATTGCATAAAGCCGGGCCTGCCTTTCCTGTTCCTTCCCGATGTGATGGAAGGTCACCCTGACAAGAGCCAGGAGACTCCGTTGGCCGCAGCAGAGGTCAGATGATAATGCTTCAGTTAGAACTTTCCCCCTTTCAAGACTGAGCAGGTGAGCAAGCGCCTGAACTCGTGGATGCCAAGGTGGCGACGTTCGGCTTCAACCAGTTGGGTAAGTGCTGGAATCACGTCTTGTCTGCGTATGGAACCGTAGATAGCTATTTCAAAAAATGTGACACGCGCATTGCAGAAAGTCCCCCAAAAAGAGCCTGGCTTGACTTCAGTGAAAAGTTGTTCTTAGGATCTGTACCAAGAAGAGTTTTTTTCAAGGATGGAGGATTCTTGCCTTTGAAGATCGGCAGAGGTGTTGATAAAATGTCATCTGACGGCGGTCTGCCTTTTTTAGACATGGGTTGATCCCAGGTTGACTCAACTCCGGATCGTCGGTTGGTCGTTGCCAGCTGCGGGAGTGAACGAGATTGTCAGAATGACCTTGCTTGGAGTCGCAAAGAGCACCTCCCAGCCAGCCAGCTTCGTAGGGGCAACCAGGAAACACAGTTGGTTGTAGTTGTGAACTTGCTTTGGACATTGGGAGCCGCTTGGTTTCAGCGAGCGGTCAGCAAGTGTTTGCCTTGAATTCGGGAGCGGGCTGGCGATGTATGTTCACATAACAAGTCGAGGATCGCAGGGCTCTAGCCAGGAATGGAGCCTGGAACAAAACCATGCCGCACGCCGCGCCAGTTGACACCAAGACTTCAAGTAAGACAATTGACGAGAACATGCGTTACCCAAACCCCCTCAAAATGGCTGTTAGAGTTACCTACGCAACATAATCTTCACGAGCAGCACATTACAGGTTTCTCAGGGATCGATGCTTGAGATTCATTGTAGGCTCCGCGTAGAGCCATAGAAGAAGGGGCTCAAACGTGACTCAGAAGGGGGATGTCGGCACATATTGGCACTAGCTGAGTTGGCCAACAATCGTAGGGAGCAGTTGGTGGAGAAGAGCACGAGTGGGCCCATTGAGTCTTGCTGCAACAAATCGTCCTGGCTTACGAGACTGGTTCCTGAAGGCGACGCTTACTGAAACTTCAAACACAGGCCTGTCTGTTTTTGTTGACAGCATTGCGCAGGTGTTGGGTGCACCAGTACGAAATCATTCTCAAGTAGCAGACAGCGGCGGCTCTGATCGGTGTTTGCTGCCATGGCGCTGCCTTCAAAATACCTCATGTTAGACGAAGGAAAGTGGTTTGCGCCCGGTGAAGCGCTCCCTCCTGGGTACGTGATCACGGCCCACCCCGAAGGTCACACGACTCCGCAGGAAACAGACAACGTGACGGAAAAGGCTCGCGACTGGATTTCGGCCGTGAAGCAGAGGCGCGGGATCATGTGACGTACGCAAGGGATGGTAGCTGCAGTGTAGACAATCCTGTAAAGTCGAAGAGAGCATAACATGAACATTGTATGCTTGGGAAGGCCCTTTGACTTCAAGAATCCAGGTGCTCCTGACGTGCTGAGTTCGCAGCCTCAGCTTGTACTGATGAAATGTCAGAATTGTGCCACATGGAATCTTCCAATCGCTAGCCTTGTGCTTTCACGAAAGGCGAGGCAAAGACGCTGATAGCACGCCTCGAGACCATGGGATGGATGCAGCCTTATCTTACCCCATTTCAGCTGTCGCTGCTAGCAATGTACAAGCTGAGGAAAGGTTCTGTGCGAACAAGTGGCCCTGATGTTCCTGTTTCCCCGCGCCTTGTCTTGTACCAGTTTCGACCCTGCGCTGCTCTTTCATTAACTTTCATGTCAGAGGGTCCTTGCATCGGTTCCTCGGATACTCCGGATCAGTCCTGTCAATAGGCACCTTCCAGATGGCTCCGGCATAAACTGCGGGCAAGCAGGCGTAACGGAATGAAACTCAGTTGTGTGTAGGCCTCACCAGCCCTGTTGTTTCAGATTGTTTTTCTTCTGAGAGTCTGTATGTGGAACCTGAGCCAGCCCGCATCATGATCTGCAACGACCGGCGTCGAGCCAGCCAAGCACAAGCCCCCCCCAACAAAAAACAATCTGCTGTTTCTCCACGGGTCTAGGAGGACGAGTCCCTGCCGTCTGTGTGCATAGCCGCCCAGGGCATCGAAACATCCTTGGTGCAACACAGCGCGAAGCACTTGAGTCGAACTTCTAAATTAACACGGTTTCGGTTAAGTGTGAAAAGGGGTTCCCCATCAATTGCCAATGAGAACCTTCACGGTGAGTTGGATCTCCGCGTAAAGCCGCAGAAATGGAAGCTTCAAATGTGTCTGAGAGTCCTGTAAGGATGAGATGGACACCATGGCAAGTTTCTACCTCCCCAGAGCCCATGAAACCCTAAACCCTAGACCCTAAGCCCCAAGCCCTAAATTGGAAGCCGAAACCTTAAACCCAAGACCCCCCAAGACCATCAGCGGAGCGAAACCCCAGACCTGCCGAAAGCGCCAGTGTCAATCACCGAGGTTAGTCTTACTTGCGTGAGCAGAAGCACGGGGTGTATGTATCTGTATTTCCTGGACCAAGGCTAAGGATGGAGTTCCGGGATCAGGAACTTTCAGATTGATGCCTTAGGATTAGGCAGCAAAGTGAACGGATTATTCAGTACGGGCTTGCAAGTTGGGCATACAGCACACTCCCTCTGGCTGGGCGACGGTCCGCTAATCGCATTACGTGCAAGATTTTGGTACGTTGAGGCATTGCCAGAGCTGCTTGTTGATGCAGCGGCTTTGCGAATCGCTCGAGGCTCAGGTGAACGCGCGTTGAGTTGCTTGGCTCTTTGATGCCATGCAGCATGAGGTTGCTTGGCGAAGCTCGTTCCTGTCTCGATGAGGCCTGGGCAAGGGCTTAGGGCAGAAACTCAGACTTGCGAAGACTCGTTTTTCTGTCGAGGCTCTTCGACTTCGACATGTAGAGTCACCTCCCTTTCACAGCATGTGCCTCAGCAGTTCTTGCGGTTCCACGAAGAGACGGCAAACGTGCAAAGTCGAAGAGGCAACTTGGTTTTGGACGTTGCATCCTCAGGAATGTGTTTTGTGATGCCAAGATGCCTTTTCTAGGCTCCAGAACTGAGGCCATGGACCCTAGCCATCATGTTGTTCTCAGGCTAGTGCCCCTTGTTGGAATAGCGGCAGGTTGCCATGCAGCTGCCTGATTTTGTCCTGGTGCAGGCCCGAGGGAAAAGAGATCGTGGAGGAGCATCCCTGAAGCTGCTTGAATGACAATAATATAATGGGGTCACCATAATACGGGTCTATAGTGGTTATTTAGGGGATATATAGGGATTATATTGGGATAATGGAAAAGAACATGGAAACTATAGGGATTATAGTACCTTTGGAGCGAGCTGCGAGCAAGGCTTCCTTTGGGTATTTCGGCTCCACCAAGGGAAAGCAAGTGAATGCGCTGGAGTATTCAAGCATAGTCTGGACTAAGTTCCGGGCCATAGCTCCTCACTCAAGTTCCGGGAACTTCGGCAAATTCCGCATGGGAATTCTCGAAATCTCACCGGAGTTGCTTCCAACCGCTTGAAGTTGCGAGACGTAGTGTTTAGGGATGCCACTGAAGTCCGCAGCTGCATTTCTAGCCCATATTGCGCACCCAACTTTGAGCACTAAAGCGGAAACAGATGATCAAATTCTGGCTGCTCCACTTCAGTGCATGGGGATCAAGTTGATCTGGCAAGAGCCTGGCAAGAGCCGGAAAAAAGAGAAGGCACCGCATCACAAGGAACCTTTTGCACGCACTTTGGAGGCCGTGGGGACGCGGGTGGGGGCGTATGGAGAGGCATTCCGAAAACCTTGGATCTCTAGACTAGACATAATGCCTTGCAGGCGGGGGACCGGGTTATAGAGGTTATTTGTAGGGATGCCTTTGTGCAACTTTGTTGACAGCCCTTTCTGGTAGGGGCGCGGAACGACCTTAGAAGCTTCCCGAGGTTGGAAGCTGGTATTCATCGTGTTCACGAACAAAGCATGCATGCGTAGTCACCTCTGGATGAGTCTGGAGGCACCCGATGCCGATGCCGCTGAAAAAACATTTGTGAGCACTTCCATTGGTCCCAGCACACTTGCGCATTCCTGATCTGGCTTGGACGCGTTATGCACAGACATGGCCCTGAGTTCCCGCTTTTGCAGCGTGCCATTGCAACATTGCAACCCCTGACCCTTCTGGTATTGCCTGGTAGAATCCGGTGTGCGCAGCGGTCCACGTTGTGCCAAGCTTATTTCTGATGAGCCTGAAGCATGTTGATGTTGTGTTGCATTCATGTGAGTCTGACTGCCTTGAAGATTTGTTCGAGACTCTGTTCACGAAACGGGGCAACAAAACCAAACGCCGGGACCCAACTCCCAAAATCATCGTACGCATGAAGGAGGCAGGATCCTACAAGTGCAATTGCTCCTTCAACCCCAAATCTAAGACCCCCAAAAACCCTAAAACCTAAACCCTGTGGCCTTGATTGCTGCTGCGTTTGCGACTGCGTAGTGGAGGGTTAAGGGCTTTAGTGCTTAGCGCTTTTGGTTTATGTCCCGATCTGCGTGTATACATTCGTTACTTATTGTGGGCTGTCATGTTTCTGTTGAGTAAGGTATTGCCATTTCAACAACAGAGCTACATATAAATTAGAGCTCTTGCATTTCTATTGGTGAAATGATCTGAAAAGTCCTTTGGATTCAGCCTCCGAGGGACTACGGCCCTGGCGTAATCGCGAAACGTGCGTGCCACCCCAATCCCTCAACCCTACATCCTAGATGAAGATGAAGCCTGCATAACTTCACGATCCCTGTAGATCCACCATATAGTACCATACTATACTATATCCTCAGATCATCCTTATATATCCCTTTATATATCCCTCATAGACAGTCCCCACTACACTCTATGCAACAAGCACGACTGGCTCGAGCCCATTAGCTCGTGCTTTCATTAACTTTTTGGTTTCCCCCTTGTTCAAGCCAAGCTTTGCAATGGACGAACTTTCAGAAACTGCTGAGGTGGAGCAGGACATGTGAATTTCAAGCCCAAAGAGGGCTTGCTAATCCAGAACATGTAAAAATCCGGATCCATCCTTACTGCTTCATTGCGGAATGCAAGTAGTAGTAGAGGATAGTCATGCCGCAGCCCTTCCAAGCCTTCAAGCCTAAACCCGCCATTGCTTGCCCGTTTTATGTTCAAAGTCACCTTTCATCCCCCCAAAACGCATTCCTGTTCTTTTGGCTTTGTGTTTGTGGAGAAATCTCAAACATCAAGGGCCGAGCAAGTTTTGTTTTTAGACAAGAAGCCGCAAACCCTATAATGTTATGCATAGTTTGCCTTGTCGGAGGCCTGTCATTTTCATTTCGTGCCGGTTCAAATTCAGGGCGTCCCAGTTTTCAGGAGTATTCTAGGGCTTGAGGTTTGAGGTTGAAAAGCCTCCTGGCTAAGGGGCCTCCGGGTTCAGGATTCAATCTAAAATTCAGCCTGCAGCGCTCGCATAACTGGAACTACAAGTGGTAAGCCTATTTACTGGAAACCTAGTAGTGGTAGTTGTCACAGTTCCCTGCAGCTCACAGACATGGGATGCTTTCCCATGGATTGGGCGGGCATTGCATCTGTTCTCACACAAGACGTCTGGGCATTCAGATTCAGCAAGGTGCATGGCATGCGCTGTTTGTTTTCAATACCAGCGGATTGTACGATCATGGTTGAACTTCCATTCAAGCATGCTCTGCTTGGGATCCCAATTCAGTTTTCTTGGACTTCATCAAGTTAGATTGCACAAGCACTTGCAGGACTTTTAAAACCCGAACCTGAATCTTTACCTCATCAACAAAAGCGAAAGTAGATCCCTTGCTCCTCCTGAACAGGAGTTTCTCAATCTTTTTTCTCAAGGGGGGCCCGCTCCAGGGCTTATGGCCACAGGTCTAGATCCTCTCAGGGTACATCTTTGTGAGAACTCGTCTGAATCCTAAACTGATAACCCTATAATCCTGCATATTCCCTGTTGCCCGGAAGGTCATCTTACTCTGAGAAGGCCTAAATCCTTAACCCCAAATCATCCCTCAGGATGCAATATTTTGCGAGAAGACTGAGCAGCTGAGTGCCAGCTCGGACGCCGACGGTCCCTTCCCCCTAACAGGGAGGGAGGTTGTGGTACTCGCCATCCTTTATAGCAACCCCCCCCATATAGTAATATAGCAACATCAAAAATTCAAGGGAATATGTATGAATACCAACCCGCTCCCAATATGTACCATAACAACAATGGGGGGCATTTTTTGGGGATCTATTCGAAGGCGATGAAACCTTGAGGCCGTTTAGTGCTTCGGGATGCTTAGTGATTAAAATGTAGCGTAGCGGCGTAGGGGTCCAGGACGTCCGAGAACGCAAAGGTTATTTGGGGTTGACGCTTCTGGGAGTAGGCAAAGCCCATTTGTGGTTGCAGAATCAAACAAAGCAGAGCCCCAAGGCAGTAGCCAAAATCCTTTCGGTTAGATTTTTGGAAGGTTCGAGGACGGTTTCAGTTTCCTCCCTAGTCTTGTGGCGAGTTGCCGACTTCAGGGGCCTGTTGAAGAGGAGATTGGGATTTGGGGTTCAGGATGGAGAGTTCAGGGCCGTGGGTCAGGAATCTAGGGTTCAGGAACGAGATTTATATTGGGAATATATGGGGGTAATCTAGGGATTATATAGGGGTAATATAGGGGTTATGTTGGGATTACACAGGGTAACGGTGTCAGGACCTGTG